CTTCAAGGAGGCTTTGCAGATGAGCAGTGATCACGTGTTTTTTAAATATGCGATGAAACTACCTCCAGAAAGCAGATCTTATAAATCCCCAAGTTCATTACATGGAATCTAAAATAACAGCTCATTTCTGTACCCTCAGAAGCACAAGAAAAATGCAAAATAAAAAATAGGACTCCCACACATCAGGAGGTTCCTGTGGCAGACACCCTTGAACCTCACATAGCACTGCCCAGCTACTCGGATGCATTAGATAACAAACCGCAACAGGGAATTTTCATTCCCCTATATTGCAGCCTAAAAGCAAAGATGATGTGCATACCCACTAAGTCTTTATACAAAGAATGCAGAGCAATATAATAAATGATTCCCTTCAAAGCACATTTTATTTAAAAAAAATAGAGATCTTTCATACACTGTTTTTGGTTTTGCTCTTTCCTCTCTGTCAGCTGTGGTGAAAGTCAGGGTGTTAGTTTAAATCACAGTTCAGTTCCATAGGCACAATTCTGTAAGTGGTCAAAATAGCATGATCTAAGAATATATTGGTAGTGATCTCCTTTAATTACTGAGGGAACGGTGGTGAATCCTGAGACATGAATATTTTGTGTGTGTCCTTTAGCTTGGTCCTCTGGAGGTTAGCATGAGTATTTAAAAGGAAAGCGTATCAAGGCACCTGGCTGGCTCAGTAGGTTAAGCATCTGCCTTCAGCTCAGGTCATGATCCCAGGGTCCTGGGATCGAGCCCCGCATCAGGTTCCCTGCTCTGCGGGGAGCCTGCTTCTCCTTCTGCCCCACTTGTGCTCTCTAGCTCTCTCTGTCTCTCAAATAAATAAATAAAATCTTCAAAATAAATAAATAAATAATTAAAAGGAAGGCATATCGATATGCTCTTGCTTTGAGGCCTCGTGAAGACAAAGCAGGTGAAATGCCATGAGACTGGCTGGTAGACTGGGGGGATAACACCCCACCTTCACAGTGTAGGGCCTCTCAGCTACTCAATCAGATAGATAGTTGAAGCCCCCGAGTTACGCTCCATAATGCATAAATGGCGTATCCTGAGCCTTGAAAATGGGAGGAAGAACTCATGAAATGCTTGCTTCTACTAAACAAAACACAGAGGTTGAGCAAGACTACATCTGGCTAACCCTACAGGACAAGCCGGGAAAGAGGGAAACCTTCCAGACCACAAGATGGATTGGTTGCCGAGAACTGTTTAGAATTCCCAACAGGGTTGTCATACATTGCTTCAACATGATAATTCATGGTTTTGATACCCTTGATAGAACTTCTTACTGGTACTCACAGGTTATCCTGCTTCCTTGGGTCATCGTTAGAAAGTAGGGCCGTGTTGTCAGATACCAGAGGACAATTCTCCTGTTACAGCACAGCACCACACATTCAGCAAATCTAAAACCTGCACCCTACGGTCCACATAACAGTTTAAAAAAGAAAGCAGCATGGAGATCAGTGATTCAAAGACCGATTTGGATGGTGGAGGCGGGAAATTATTTACATAATTTGGGGAAATCTTTCAATAAGTACATTTACATTTCCTCATGGAGATTTACTTCTGTGATTGACATTTGATTATTTTCCAAAAAGATTGATGTAATCTGCAATCGTAGAGATTTGGATATGTCAGCTTGCTAATTTCTTAACTGAAATTTAAAATGAGTCCAGGTAATATTCCATATGGAGAAGCATTCATTTTCCTAGACTTTGTTCCCTATTTCTAAATATTTACAATCCTTGATGCAATATGACCTCTAATATCATGTTCCCTCTATTTTTAATATTATTCATTGTAGACTTTGTTGACTCCTTTCTATTTCTCTTTTTAATAAATATTTATTATTATGAATATAGCAATGGTCATGTTTACAAAATTTGGGTCGTATGAAAAATACAAAAAAGAAAATCATAAAGACTCAGTCTATAAGCCAAAGACATTACTGTTAACATGTCAAATGCTTTTAAAAAATTTTAGAAAACTTCTGTTTTCTGTCTTACCACATATTTGCATATTGTCCTAAAGTTCTCAAGGAAATTAGTGTGGTCTAATTTCCTGTAACAGAAACCATTTATGCTTTGATGCATTCATTAAGTTATATTATTATTTTATGTTTTATATGCTTTATATTATTTTTATTATTTTCATTACTATTATAACAAATGTTAAGCACTTACTATGTGTCAGGAACCATGAGAAGGGCTAGTGAGCAAAATCACACGTGGACCTGCCCTAACGGTGCTTACACTCTGGGTTGGGAGAAGATCTAACATATAAATTATTATATAATTAATTACAAGTCTGATATGTGCTATCAAGAAATATACAGAACTACACGAGTGAATCACACAAACTTGACTGAATTTGAGATACTTTAATAAGTCTTTCAAATAGAGTTGTCAAATAGCAGTTGTTTCAATGCGTTCAAAATTCAGGGGCAACATGAGTTTGACAGTCATCCACCACAAAAGATAATGGAAACCCTGTGTACTTATGAGATCACCTAAGTACAAACTCACGAGAGAAGAGAGTTTACAGCAAAAGACATCAGGAAGGCTAAAATTGAATGGCCAGGTGGAGGAGGATGAGCCAAAAAATGATTCTGGAAACAGAGAGGCCAACCAGAGAAGAGTAAGAGCCAGAGACTGTGATGTCAGGGAACCCTTGGAAGAGAGGGCATTCACAGAGAGAAATCAAGTAAGGGGAAGGTGGAAAAGTCCACTGAAGTTAGCAAAATGGCCCTGGGGGACCTTACTGAGAGCTAAGTGATGGGGAAGGCACACTGAGGCGAGTTTCAGAGACTGCATTCAGCGAGCACAGGCAACCACCTGGAGGAGTTTGATTGTGAAGAAAAGAAAGAAAGATATGGCTATGTGTAACCTACAGGAGCAAAGAAAAAGTTTACTTTTTTGTTGGCTTTGTCTCTCAAGTATTTAAATACCAATCAGGACCGTAGAGTTGAGGCTATGACCTATTCATAGGCATTCTGCTTAATTAGTATAAAGCCTGGACTTCCGGATATTATTTAGAAGTGTCCAGGTGATTCTAATGGGCAGTCATATTTGAGAGCTGCTGTTTTAGGTCATACTTGCCCACATGTTTAGTTTAGAGCGAACAGCAGTTTGCCCAGTATCAACTCAGTCCCAACATGCTAGACCTCTCACAGATTTACATGGGGACCAATGATTTAACAGGATCACCTCTCAGATCTATCCTGGGGAAGTTATCTTCTAGCGTTAATCTCCCTTAGTTTGCCAGGTTCAAAGCATCCTTGTCCCCACGGGGGGTGTTTGATCTCCTTCAGTAGACAATTTCAAAATGATAATCTTTTAATTATCTTTCTCACTAAAAACAAAGCCCAAAAATTCACATAGCTTTTTTGCTCTCTTTGGTTCTTGGAGCATATTTTTTTAAACTATGACCACATGGCTTCACAAATTAATGTTAAGGTCGTTTCTTTCCTTTCACTCTGTGGATGTTTTTACGTTCCTACCACATCATGATTAACACTAGAATATCATTTTAAAGTTTAAACAACTATAAATATATACCATCTCAGTAATCACAAAATGACACCGCAACTGGTTTGCAGAGAAAATCGTGGCCCAGAGAAATTGTATCATTCGCCCAAGGTGGCACAGCTAAAGGATAGTAAAGGAGGGCATGAGTCTAGATCCTCTGGTGGCATATCCACTGGATATCCAGCTGGCTCTCCATTGCTGGTAGCTGCTTTACACAAACTCCCCTGTCTAGCAGTTTGTCTGGATGAAATACATATTGTTTGTACATATGTTTGCAGAGAGCAAAAAAGCAACAGCAACAGAAGGTGAAGGTATAGTACCTCATGTGATAATGGCAGCATCATCAGGAGATCATGCACATGCGCGTTTATGCTGGGAGCAGCCTGAAGAGAAGATCCCAACAGAGTCAGCACTATTTGCTACTCAAGTAGATTCATAGAATTGTAGAGCTAGAGAGAAATCCTAGCCAAAATCTCTCATTCTATACAGGTGAAGTGACATCACATATAATTAGTTAATATCAAAGGTAATATTCAAATGCAGATGTTTTCAAAACAATGTGTCTTTTCCCACTTGCATCAGAATAATGATTAAAAGCATCCAAATATTCGTACTTGAGGACAATGGAGAAAATGGAATCAATTTTTAAACTGAGTATAAAGCTGTTCTAGAAACGTCTAGAATCTGGAACCTCATTTCCAGAGATGCACTTTCCAATATGAGGACCACTAGCCACTTGTAACTCTTTAAATTTCAAGCAATTAAAATGAAATAAAACTTTAAATTTTGCTCCTTGTTTATTCTAGCCACATTTCAAGTGCTCATTAGTTACATGTGGCAAGTGGCTACCATTTTGAATAATGGAGATTATAGAACTTTACCCTCATGGCAGAAAGTTCCACTGAGTAGCACTGATCTGCCTAGATTATGCCAGTCACTAAATTATGAGCATTGCTAGGTTTTCCCAATAGCATTTTATAGAGACCTTAAATGCAACATCAAAAGCTACTCAACTTTATTATTGGACATGTCGCCCACCATGGTTTTAAAATCATACTTAGGAAAAAAAGGATAAACTTCCCAGAAGAAAACAAGTTAGATTGTTCACACAATAGGAGGAATCCGCTGCTGTCTCAGTTACAGTGCTGCTTGTCATTCAGCAACCCCAATAAGAAAAATGAAAAGTTGACAGGCAAGGGATAATATTTAGCAGTATAATAATATTATAAAAAGAACCAATAAGACTATTTTAAATTAGACTAGAAGAAGGATAAATATGAAAAGTACAGGAAATATAAAGTTAGTTTTGCCTGAAAAACAACACTGACGAAACACCAAGTGCCCCCCAGTAAAGTCTGGGTTTGTGTGATGAGTGTGGGCAAGCATATCTGTGTAAGCCTCAAAGGGGAGCAATATGATGCATTGCCAAATCTTTTCAGTTCCTCAGTAATTCTAATTTGATGTTTATTTCAGATCAACGGTGGAGAGAAGCGACCTGCCTCTGACCTGGGGAAAAAGCCAAAAACCCCCAAAAAGAAGAAGAAGAAGGACCCCAATGAGCCCCAGAAGCCTGTGTCTGCCTACGCGTTGTTCTTTCGTGATACTCAGGCTGCCATCAAGGGCCAAAATCCAAATGCTACCTTTGGTGAAGTCTCTAAAATTGTGGCTTCGATGTGGGATGGTTTAGGAGAAGAGCAAAAACAGGTAAGAAAGAATCCAAAGTGGAGTGGCAATTGACACACTTTAAGAACATGTAGGCACTCTAAAAAAAATGGCTTCGGGGGACTTTGGGTGAATTTTCTGATGCCAGAACTAAGGCTGAGAATGTGCCCCATCAGAACCAGACTTCGGGAGACTTTCACATAATTTTATACTCCTTTATTGCTCCTTCATAAATAGCCTGTTAGTTTCCTTTGTTTCAAGTTTTATATACTGTAGTTACTTTTGGAAGGACTTTGACATGTCCCAGCCAGGATGACATCATTCCTTAATGTGGCCAGTGTGATCATAAAGACTAAAAAAAAAAAAAAAAAAAAATACTGAAAGTATTTTGAAAACTGTCCACACCTCTCTTTGAGCACTTACTATTTACCCTTTGGTCATCAAAACCCTCTTTGCTCTTTGCTAAATGAACCTCAGATTTAAGGGTTTCTACCCTTAGCCGTTCCCTAAAGACCACTGGAGCATGTTATTCAATCCCACATATACCGTATTTCTAGGCTGTGTTAAATGGGACCAGATGCCTGGTTATTTTCTTCTGGTGTGGATTGCCATGATGCGAGGACCATGCTGAGGGGGGCCATGTGGAGCACTCTGCATCTCAGCCACAGCAGAAGCAGTCCAGAACATCTTGAGGAGGATGGGAATCATGGAGACAGAGCCAAGATTTCATTACATAGATGTAGCCCACCTCAACGAAGAAGCAATATTGATCCATATTTCTAAACCTGGGACTAAATTGCCATTGTCGCCATCTAGAATGTCCTTGTCAAAAAGAAAAAAAGAAATAGACAAGCATCATCACTAAGTTATAGTCATTGAAATGATTATATAGACGCAGCTTTAGCTGCTGCAGGATACCAAACGGTAAAATGATGTAGTAGTCTCACAGCTGATTCTTGATAGAGACCTTTACCTTTCCTCATCAGGTCCAGGGAAGTATGTAAGAAACAGAAAGTCTCAAAGATATGTACATCTAGAAGGACCTCTATATTGTGAATATCGATCAACAACTAAATGTATACAGTTTCTTACTCTTTTAAGAATACTTTCCACATGATTTCTCTCATTTGGTCAGCTGAATACTCATAGATACTTTTATCTAAATTTTGTAGATTTTGCGATAGAGCCAGATAGTTAGCTTTACTCATGTCATTCAACGAGTGTTTGCTGAGCATTTTCTATGTGCCCCAGGCACTGTTCTAGACACTGGAGATCTAGCAGAGAACAAAACCGACTCCCTCATTCTATTGAATGGTTTGTCTAAGATTACTTGGCTGCTGCATGGAATTACTGTGACTAGAACTTACCACTCTGTGAAATCAATTACGGTGGAAATAGTAGAACTGGTTGCTAAGGAACATAGAACCCAAACCCCCACCCCAGTTCTCCCCAAGCCTTCTTTTCTGTAAGCCAAAGCAACTTTGACAGTCTGAAATCTCCACACATTTTCTTACGTCCCTTTCAAGATTGCCGGTCCAGAGATGGTTTCATAGGAAAGCACAGGCCTACCATGTGGAGCACCGTGTTGCAAGAGTCATCCTCCAGGACAGAAGACACACCACTGAAACATTCTCTGTGCACTCAATTAAAATATCCATCTCACTAGTAATAGGGTAGCTGACATCGTGTTTTGTGCTTCTATTGAAAACCTAATATAGTTGTTTCAGGATTTTAGAGCCGATTTCTGTCCTACCACAGATGAGTTTGCTCTCACACTCCCAAAGCTGAGGTGTGGTCCCCAGTTGATGCTGGACATTCACGGTGGGATTCTACAGTAACTTCACTCTTCCACTCAGTAGAGCATTACCGAATGAGAAACTAGCTGCATATAGACCAGGAATCCCAACCTTATCCTTGTTCCAGATTTCATAACCATAATGCCTCCCGGTTCCACCCCTGATGCCACACACCAGGACACACCCCTCTCTCTACTTCAATCACCACTGTGTGTATTCTTAGTTAGGCACCAAGCTTCAATACTATAAATTCTTTTGCTTGGTGAGATAAAATTTCCCAGAGAAGACATTCAGAAAGTGATTTCTCTCCCTAGGGGTTCTGTGCAGCAAGTCTCGTTCATCAGAGGACATAGTGATTCCCCTCTGAAGACTCAGCCCTCCCCTCTACCCAAGACTCAGCAACTAAGCTGGGCGTGGTGTTCCAAGGCTCGTATGTTGCTCCTTTAGCTTCCACTTTTCCGACAGTTTTATTCCACAAAACCTCAGTAGCCTGTGCTCTCACTCGTCTGACTCCTCTCCTCTATCTCCCTGACCCCAGATACCTTTTCCTAATTATTTCCCACATTCGCTAGAGGAACCGGTGTGGTTTTAAGACCAGTGGTTTAAAAGGGGGAGGTGTACAAAGGCCTTCCTTAGCCCAGGATCGGTCCTTCACGTTATCGACGTTAAAAGTCAGTGTCTACACCCATGTCTCCAGTGGAAAGAATAATATTCATATGATGAAAATCAGGTAGTTCCTCAAGGCAGCAAATATAGTGCTGCAGGTGGTTCCCACTAATTCTATTATAATAAGGCCGTTTATTTTTATTACAGCAAGAGGAGAAACATTAAGATAATATTCCACATTCTTTTTGTGTGACCATATAAAGTATTTACAGACCCAAAGAGTATGAGATTCACTGTTCTCAAACTGTCATGTTAAAAAGGAAAATTACTCCCAGTCTCCCATACTGCCTTTCAAATTGGGGCCGATCCTTTCTAATGCAGAGAGGATCATAGTTATGATGTAACATTCAAGGATTTCTAATTGTATACGTGTGATGACAAATGTTTTTCCTCTTTCTCTTGTGCATTTTATTTCCAATTTACTAAGTAACTCGTAACGAGTCTGCCTTCAGGTTCTGTCTTAACAGAAACAGTTGGGGTCTGGGGGAGGAATTTGTTTTACAAACAAGTGGTGAAATTCTCTCACAGTTGGCCTGTAGAACTCATTGGATATTACAAAGCAATTTTGTGATCAGAACCCAGGTGTTAAAAAGTTATGCCGAGATTGTTTGGGGAAATACCTTAATAAACATAACCATCTTTTTCTCTCATTAAAAAATATTAATATTTTTAAAATGGAGTACCATTACCAAATCGAGGTATTGGGAGCAGAGTGAGTCACTCTAAAGTGCTTTATGCTCCTTTGACTTAGCAGGGGTTCAACCTAGCTCATCCTTCCCTCTTACAAGATGATCTTGCTTACTAAAGACAGTGAGGCCGAAGATTATGCGGAAAAGTATGGTCCGTTCCACGCAGAGGATGCAGGCCCATCCCGGGGACAAGCAGAGAGAGGGTCAAATGAATGAAATCAGACACTGTGCTTACGAAAGGGAGCATACCGCATCAGATGGGCCATAGCTCGGCTGCTCGGTGGCCGTGTTTCTCCCACAGTTTGCAAGAATTGCCAGCAATCGCGAACATGCCTGCCTAGAATGCACATTTGGGCATCAAGAGAATTTTAGCAAAATACCCCAAAGTGTTATGATGGTGTATTACCACCTGTTCTTTCCCTTTATGTTGACTCATTGTGCCAACATAATATAGGATCTCTGTTTCGAACTTAAATTAATTGTATTTTCTCCTCATTTAATATTCAAATTTGGGAGCGCACATCCTGCCATGTATTTTTAAAGGAATGTTGCTGGAGCGGATTAGAGGCAGACCATTAAACTCCAAAATTTAGGCGTGTTCCGAGAGCCCCACGTTATGTCATTGGCATTGTGTAGGCAGCTGGTTCGGGTAGAAGCTAGGATTTCACGTGCCACGATTGTTTCAAAAATCCTGTTGTCGTAATAGCCCACAATTATGAACAGCTACAAATATAAACACAAACCCGGGGAAAATGGACAAAATTATTGATGATTTATTAGGGGCTCTGAAAATTACAATATTTAAGGAAAAACAGCCATTAGTGAGATTACAATTGAATGCTTTCTTGACAGCCAGAGGGCACATGACTAATAGAGCTGCCGTGTGTTTATATCACATGCTTCCTCATTGTGGAGGATAGGTGGGCGTGAGAAGCCACTGCAGAAGGGCAGATCTTTATTTTCAGAGTCCATGGTGAGGGAGCAACTGTATGTACTTTGGTTTCTGTGAAGAATCTCTCAAAGAAGAAAAACTAAAAGGAAGCTGAAAGAAGCGATAAAAATCCTCCAGGAACACAAGACCTCCCTTAGGAATCATTCCTACCAAAGCCACTGAACAAACTTCACATATCAGAGATCTCCCCATTTTAATACTTTGGAAGATGGTGCTGAATCTGGAAGGGAAGGAGGATTGTGTTTGGGATTCCAACCAGAGGTTTTAAATGCTAATGAATCGTAAGAAAATGGAGAGCCCATTGCAGAAGCATACTAAGTCGTTCAGAAGGCACCAGATGGAGAAAGGGAAATAAAACATAAGTATTGCTGTGATGTTGGTCTTTGCTACTTATCTTGCACTGACTGGAACCTACAGAGAGTGAAAAATAATAACTTAACAATATCACGCCCTTTATAATAGGCTCCTGGGAGTTTCAGCAACCCTCAGCATCTTTTTTATGAGGTTTCAGCTAAATTTCTTGTCTATTCCTGTTATTCTGAATTCTCTGATTCTGGTCACCGAAGTATAAGATCTGGGTCCACAGTGACAACAGCGAACAAATCAAACCCTACTAAATTAAAGAGTCCATCCAGCTTTGAAGCCGAAGCGATTGGTCCAAGGAACTATAAAAGGGTTCTCGGGTCCTTTTTAGCCACGGAAAGGCAGCTCTTAAGTGGAAAAGGAAAGTCACCTTAAATCAGAACCAGATGTAAATTACTAAATGAACCTTAAGTTCCCAATTGGAGACACAGTTGGGCTGTAATACATTTAGCAAATTACAAACAAAATGTTCTTGTTTACATTACATTAAATGGCTTTAAAGCTTCAGCCAAAGAGCTAAATAAACATGCTGTTATGCTAAAAATGGAGTGGAAGGCCTGTTCGGAGTTTGAGTAT